AGCTGCCACACTCCAGTCTAGAACAACAGCACCGCTGTGTTAATGACTCACGGAGTAAGAGCTCTATACAAATCGTCCAGTAAATACCCGATTTTGCTTTCCGTCACATATTGACGAGTAGCTGGACAATGGTTTACAGTGGATTCGACTACCATGTACCTCATGCAAACATTCAGGCATAATTTATTATCCGCCACGTACTTTACTACTGTCTTTACTCCGTAACACGAGTCGAATGACCTAATACAGCTTCCACGTGTCTACTCAACTGCGGCCATCACGACACACGACTCCTTGTTTTAAGTTGCAAGTGAAGCAAGAAAACACGAACGCCGAACTAGCGCTCGGGTCGTCCGCTGTGTTTTATTCACTCCCATGAATAAAAATCGAAGTATCCCTGCCCGCCAATTATACTTTCGTATATTGTTACTGACTTCAATGCAATGAGACGTTACCTCGCGTTTAAATCTACGTGCTAGTGAGCAACAAGTCAATGCTTCGATTCCCTATCGTGGTGGCCTACTTTCGATGTCAGCTGATCCAACAGCACACGTCTTTACAGTTTTTGATCCAGAAGCCAAAGTTCTCAAAATAATTCAGATACCACCCTTCCCTTTTCCACTACGCACACTCTCACAGCAGTGGTAGTGTACCCACTATGTAACCACCTATGTAACCATGATTCGTTGAACCCAAGCAATCACGCAGCACACCTTTATATATTTGGTTTGATAAGAAAGAGTCTGCACTAAACAGCAGCCTCATGGAGCTTGTAATGAGCGCTGTGGAGACGTTTGTCTTATGTCCTCCCATGACAGAGAGGCATTCCTCGCATAATCGGTCTCTGAAAGTAAACTGCGCTCAACAAGCCAAGTATTAATCTTAAATAGGCGGAAGCAATCTTGCTATTGTGGTTGGTGTTCGTACTGTGCCTGCCACGGTAGAAATCATCGTAGCGTTTCGCAAAAACTAAGGCGCACAGGCTTCATAGTTGCCCCGACGCGGTGGTCTAGTGGCTAGGGTACTCGACTGCCGACCCGCAGGTCGCAGGATCGAATCCCGCCTACGGCGGCTGCATTTCTGATGGAGGTGTAAATGGTGTAGGCCCGTGTGCTCAGATTTGGGTGCACGTTCAAGAACCCTAAGTGGTGGAAATTTCCGGAGCCTTCCACTACGGCGTCTCTCATAATCATATGGTAGTTTTGGGATGTTTAATCTTACATATCAATGAAATTAGTGAAGGCTTTATAGTCGGGTTTAACGGTGACTTTACAGAAAGACTCGCGTACAAAATATTGAAACAATTAAAAGACTAGTCAAAGACGGGAAGAAGGCCGGTACAGAAGCTGTTGGTTAATGTGTAATAATAGTATACCTTCATTTTATAAACTGACTGCAGCCTAACAAGTAACCATGTGATCGCAGCAGCATCAAAGGACAAGACATTCTGCTAGCTGCACTTTCATGGTCGTAGTATGTATTTGTTGCCACCTTCGTGGATTTAATTCTGAGGATTGACGGGAAGATATAGACTAAAGGAGTTGACAAAATACTTGGAAGACGCTTGAGCTTCACCTGAAAGAGTAAAACGCAATCGAACCCCGTAAGCATCGCCTTCAACCATGCAGCAAGGAAAGCGACTTTTGTGCGCGGAACAATGGCCGTTTCAAACTATCCTATAGAATGCATACTGCAAGTTCACTTGCCAAGTGCGCACGTACGCCATGATTCTCCCTTTTGCGAGTTGAAGGAGTACCGAATATACTCGTATACGTTAGGTGGCACGCGCACTGCCGCGCCGCTTCACACTTTGTAAGGGTCGGCAACTTTAAACCGCTCCCTCGTTGCGAGAGTCACATGTTTTGACACCTGATGTGATTGGACTGTACTACTACGCAATATTACATGAATTACGGTGACTTCTACTACATGACATTCTAAGCGTTTTTTGTTTGTTTGTTTACAAAGCACTTTCAAGCGCTGATGACGTCGTTCTGTGGCACGCAAAAGTCATTGGTTTGAGTATCGCTGGGATCAACTTCTTTTTATCTATTTATTTGCACTCATTTCGAATTTTCGCTCACGAACCAAACTGATTTATCGCTCCCAACCAGGCCACTACCAACGCAAACATCAACACTACCGTTTCGCCGAAACGAGCTTTTGTAAAGCTATCCCTTTAACAGTTCGAGATCTGCCCTCAGATTGTTGACCGAGCTTGCTGCTTTACACCTGGTACACCAGCACATAGCACAATAGCAAACGGACACACAATGTTCTTGTTCTTGCTGCCCTTAACTGTCAATCTCATTTGTTCTTTTCTTTTTGGCCTGAGTCCTTGCGTGAAGTGTTGCATTCTGTCTGCCCGGGAAAATAAAGGTTTTTTGGGCTATGACGAATTCGAGTATTCGCTTCAACCACTTTTGAAAAAAAAATATGCCACAGAACTAGGAGATCATACTGCCACATTTACTGCAAACGCCCAGTCACCGTTGATGTGGCAGTAGGGGGGGGGGGGGGGGGGGGTTGATGGTGTCTCACTTTTGAGCTAGGTGTATAGGGAAAAAAGCGTTACAGCAGGAAAAACAACGAGTCAGCCACGGAAGGCGTTTCACTCGTACCCAAACATCATGAAGAAGGGTCGCAGTGTGCTATCGCGACGACCTATCGAAATGCGTTCTTCGCTGCGATAGTAGAAAGCGCATGACACCATCGGCTGACACCGCATACGTGTCTGTGAAGACTATCTTACGGCATAGAGTTTTCTAATATACACTAGAGGGAACTCTGGCGCTAGTGTCTATGGGAGCTGCAACGCACGGCGCTTCAGTGAGCATGGGAATGATGGGTAATACACACATTTGTCTAAACTTCGTACTTCTGGCCTGATATTGGCTTCGTGTGTGTTCGTGTGGCTTGAAGCTGTTTTCTCACGAAACAAAAATCAGCAAATGTTCAGTGATTGCGCTTCACCACCCTATTTTTTTTCGAATTACCTTTCCAAATTGGGTCACGAAGTTCAAAAGGGTTGAATCTTTCTTTCAAAACAAAATCGAAACACAGCAATAAACGAAGCCGCAAGTACGATTCGTCGCCCGCAAGTACGAAAACTAGGCAAATGTGTGTACTAAACCCATCATTCCCATGGTCGCTGAACGATCCCAGCGCCAGAGTGCCCTCTAGTTAATTTTGAGAAACTCTATGTCTTATGGAGACGTTTTGGTGCCGCCACAAGGACCCGTTAATCTTGCCGCCTTGTCTCATGACTTCAACTAATTTATCAGGTAGACGCATACGCAGGAATGTGATTGTGTCGGTGCATACGTCGTTTCATGGCCTTGTGGTGATATACCAAAATAAGAAACGATTCAAATTGAATCATAAAACGTCTTTTTAATCAGGAATACTAGATCGCATTCCCATATGTAAGTACTTTAGAGTGATTGGTCAGCGCCACCATGGCCCAGTTTTTGAAAGCATGCTTATACCATTAGAAAAAGCAACCGGTTACTCGTGATTTCAAAAAAAAAAAAAAAAAAAAAAACTCCAGGCCTGTGCCGAAGGCGCAGCACAGTCACAGCTAAAGCTAGAAGAGCAGCCTTTCAGAGCCTTTTCTAAACACCCATTGCGTATCTGTTGCCAGCACACTTGCTTGATGGCCATTACGGCATTAATAATAAGTATTTATTAAGTAAGGGGTTAACTGGCGGAACATGGGAGAGGCCTTTGTCTTGCAGTTGACGTAGTCAGGCTGATGATGATGATGATTATGAATAAGTATTTAGGGTAGTAGGCCGGCATTCTCTATGATACTTTTTTCATTCGTCTGAAGAGCGTGGTATCCACTAAACTATATTGTAACATATTCAAGAAGAGAAGAAACACCAGAAACTACTTTATTATGGGCGAACTTGTGCTCTACTAGGTGCAAAAAATGAATGAGTCCACTAAAGCGTTTGAAAAACAGAACTGTTTATCAGCGAGCGCGTCTTCTTCTTTTTCGCAGGTCAAACCCACACTGACTCGTGCGCGTGCACGAGAGGTACGAGTTAAGCTCCCAGAAGTACGAGTGCGTGCGAGACTGTGGACGCTGATTCTTTATTCATAATGCCGGATCATGTAGTTAGTCTCTGTGGCAATATTGCGAGGAATTTTGGGCCAATTGTTCATGCAATGGCTGACGACAATGAGGAATTACGGTAGTAGTGGGTATGCGCCACAGTTTATAGGGGAACAAGAACAAGCTTTTGTAATGGGTTGGAGCATTGAAGGGTCCACTCGTTATGCTATTCGCATTGTGCGACGACTGCTTGTTCTTTCGCTGTTTTAAAACGCTGCAAAACTCGTAATAATGCGATTACTTTCCCGACATCAAGCCTGCCTAAGGCAAGTTTGCCAACATGTCACAAGTGGGGTAGCTCAGTGGTAGAATACTGGGCTGACATCAAGCGGACCCGGGTTCAAGCCCTACTCTGTCATAGGTAATAACCTTTTTTGCTGATTCGGCCCGATGTGGTTACGGACACCGGCGTCGGCGGGGGCGGTGATGGACAACTACGGCGCTGTATGAGACCCGAGTTGTAATCTCATTACAGCTTTCGCTGTAAAGCGAAGGAAATACGATATTTAGCGTACACTCTTAAAAAAAAAGGTGGGGCTACTTACTAACTTCGAGGTAGTAAATTGTTGTCACAACATTCACTACCTAAGTAGTAATTGCAGGTAGTAGACAACAGTCATTTACTACATCTGGTTGCATCTAAGGTAGTAAACGTCTGTGGCCTACTACCTGAAGTTACTTCTTAGGTGGTGAATGTTGTGACGACTATTTACTACCTTAAACTTAGTAGCACTGCGTTTTTTTAAGAGTGTAGGGTATGCGGTAAATGACGGCACTCATACATTTTGGACTTGGTTTCTAAAAAGTGACCTTCACCATGTTATCGGGACTAGCAATTCACCTGTTCACTTGGCCTCACATCGTCATTTTCTTTCCGCAGACGAGGACTCCCTGCCGTCCATCTCCCTGAGGTGTCCCAAGAAACCGCGCAAAGCGCGGACAGCGTTCACCGAGCAGCAGCTAAAGGTATACACATGCTTATTACATTATATGGTAAACGTGAAAAGATCAAAGTGTGGGCTACCAAGATCAGTAAGGCATAGCACCAAAGAAGCTTCCAAGGAAGCTCTTTTTGACTTATACTTGCTGCCACCCAAGAGTGGCTTGTCATGTTACATGTAAAAAACACTATAGGCACGAAAAAAATGTGGCACCCCGTCTGCGCCTCTCACACGTGGTAAGTTAGTCATGATAAATGTATGCGCAGAGGGAGTTTTTTTTTTTTTTTGTGATCCTTCGTCGATTGTATTGCAATCAACTGAGTAAGGAAACGGTACGCGTATTGCTTTGAGGTTCATGACAAGAGTTGACTAAACTGGCTTGTTTCTCTTCTTTTCGGGGTTTTCTTAGTGTACATACCTCGAAAACGCGTTAACACTGGCGCCCCTTCCCCCGTGCCCACACACACACACGTTTTAAAGAAACATCGCAGCCAGTTCCAGCCTATGTGCAAGCTGCACAAACTACGGTGCATGGATTAGCCTGTGTTTATCTTGTGCTTATCTGCTCCTTTCTCTTGTTTTTTTTTAATATTTTCGTGTGAATATGTGATACTTTATATTATTTTCTTGCGATTATTTGATTTCTTTCCGTATATCTATTTTCTCTTCTGTGACCTCCTTGCTAATGTTTTTCTCTGGTGTTTGTTACTTCGAGCGCCGTGCCTCCCACTCCCGGCACAGACGTTCCGCCTCCGACTCTCTTTACCGTAGGTCGCCCCGCCGCGGTGGTCAAGTGGCTAAGGTACTCGGCTGCTGACTCGCAGATCACGGGTTCAAATCCCGGCTGCGGCGGCTGCATTTCCGATGGAGGCGGAAATGTTGTAGGCACGTGTGCTCAGATTTGGGTGCACGTTAACGAACCCCAGGTGGTCGAAATTTCCGCAGCCCTTCACTACGGCGTCTCTCATAATCATGTGGTGGTTTTGGGACGTTAAACCCCACATATCAATAAATTTACCGTAGGTCCGTGTGTAACTCCCGACGCTGGCGTTTAGCTGTCGCTTTGCTGGCTTGTACAGACTAATGAGCATTTTGGCGACGCTGGTGTTGACGGGAAGCAAGCGCTGCCGTTCCAAACTGGCATTCGTTTATCAAACTTGATAGCTGCGGAACGCCAACGCGAAACACGAGAAGCAGCGGATTCCTGAGACGACGACAAGGCTGTCCCTTAAGCTGGCCCACAGTTTTTTTTTTTTTTTTAAAGCTCGCAGCATCATCGATCACGTGCGTGAATGCGTGCCAACAGTTGCGCATCGGTGTACGTTTATCAGCATACACAATGAAATTGAGCTGCGCAAACGAAGGGACAAACCTGTATATGGTCCGAGTTTCAAATAGCTCTGAGCGAACACGCAAGCGGCATGACGAATCAAACGATGTGGATGCCTTCAACTTCATTATACAGCGGAGCTTCGTTTCCGCTATACGCTCGCTCCCGAAATCACGAAGCCGCGTGCAAGTATGTAACCTGCTCTCTCTATCCTTTTTTTTTTTCGTTCAGGCTACTAATGTATACAATGTCGTTCGCGTTGGACAAGCACGTGGTCCCGTATGAGAGGAGCGACGCGTCGCACGAGACCTCTGTGTACACCGTCCCGGACAGAAACAGCCGTGTCTCACCACGGGTGGCCGAAGTGGGTACGGTTTTCACAACCATTCGCCGAGCCCGCGGTCCTGTATGAAAGCAGCGAGAGCGAATGCTAATTCGGTCGGCCGGCCATCGTTTCCCAAAACGGACTTGCGTACTGAGAGCCCGGAGCGAAGAATGCGTCGGAAGTGTTTCGTGTCCTTGTTACACCGAGTTTAGTACTCGATCGAACGCGTTTCACACTTTTTTTTTCCATTGTATTCTCGCATAGAGCTCTTCTTCCTTGATCACTGACAGAAAACTTCGTTTTCAATCGACCATGTATTTGTGTTTCTTTTTTTCTTTTCCTTTCCCCGTCTCTTCGAAATGCAGTGTGACCGCTCCTAAAGTGGGTGACGGTCCGGCCGCGTGAGTATGCCGTGTTCGCTAAGTCGTAATAATACGCGTCACAGTTATGGAAATGAAGTGCGGCGCAGAGTGGCGCCTGCGCGGCCCGAGTCCCTTTTGTCATTCACCGCGGCCCCTGGCGGGGACAGCGGCCGACTCACGCAGCGCGTGCCGCGATGGGGCGTCGTGTGACGGCAGCAGCATTCGGACCAGTCCGCTGCCGGCGCCATTGTGGCTCCTCCTTGACTCCTGCGCGGGACTCCCACCTCGGAGGTCAGGGGTGCGTGTGAGGCTCATTAATAGGGCGTTAGAACCCTGCACGTCTTGTTACTGCCGCGTCGGCGCTTTCTTGAAAAGAGGCGGCCGTGTATGCATACAGAACATTATGTGAACGGCGCCATGAATGACGCCGTGCTCTGGATATGTGTTATCCACGCTCAGTGTGCAAAGTTGCTTGGCGTTACAAGCGTGGTTGGTCCCAAAGAAAAGGGCGGCATGAGCGTTTCATGAACTGGAGGATTCTTTTTTTTTTCAAGCATTCGAGAAGCTTCCCGGAACGTGAGCCCATGCGGCTAACAATGCGGAAGCAACTTTCGTTTGAAGGAAGCTCTAGAGAAAAAGAAGCAAAGCAGAATGCTTTTTTTTTTCAAAAACGGAACAATAAAAGAAACGCACGAGAGATGCGCGTCGACATTGAACTTGAAGAGGTAGGTATATTTGTGGTGCGTGAAAACTTTCTGTAATGGTTTGGGAACTCTGTCGCTCAAGACGTAGAGAACTCGAAACCTTGTTGATATGCCTCTGTTGGTGCTACACATAAGTGACAAAAAAAAAATGTCCGCCCTTGAATTTTTCTTCTTTGTTCGACCACGGGGAACTGCGTGAACGGGCTTTGGGCAATCCGCTTGTGCAGTCTATGCAGCAATGGCACGATGTGCTCCGAGGATAGACAGGCTACATGAATGAATATATGGGCATACATGGATGAAGCTTAATATTGACTTGAAGCTAGAATGACTGAAGCCTAATACAGACTTTTTGTTACATTGCTTACGTCATCCCATTCGCGCACATGCAGTACACACTGTGTACAAAAACTTTCTTGTGTTCCTTGTGTGTGAATTCTTCATAAATGTCATTTATGTACGAATGATATACACGAAGTAGGTGCTAAAATGCGCAAAGAAACATACCAATGTTTAGCCTTATTAGGTAAGGAGAAAAATTGCTTCTGATTATGTCTACCTGTGGCCAGCGTGTATTCTCTCAGGGGTCATATTGAAAAAGTAGAGCGTTATTTGTGGCAAGAGTGAACTCTTGGAAACCTATGCACGTGAATGCCCGAGCAATTTTTGTTAATCACGAGGAAACGTATCAGAATGAGAGAGGGGGGCTTTTGTTTCAGCTTTCACAACAGATTGCGGTTATTTAGGTATGTTTGTTGTACAAGTCATTTATTCACAAAGAGCTTAGTCGCCATTAGCAATTTTCTCTTACTTAAAGGTGCAAAGTTTGTGAGTTTTAATGAGGTTGAAACATGCTCGCGTTTGCAATTTATATTCAAATTTACAATGTATTGGGGGTTCCTGGTTCACATTGTATAATTAGCCGCGTATAGTCGGTATGATAGTTATTTAGTGACAAATAGAGGTACATATATATTGTTCCTGGAACAACGGAAAACAAAGTATTCAATCCAACTGATGGGCAAAAATTAGCGATGCTGCCCGCGGGCATTGAGTTTTCGGCAAGCTATGCCCAACTAATTTGTCGTTTCTTGCTCATATGCGCCATGCTCTTAGATCACTCAACGTTTACTCATACAAATGCCTTGGTGTTAACCTATGCAATAACCTTCCTTGGTACGTTCACATTTCTAACATCACATACTCAGCTAACCACGAGCTTGACTATCTGCGTCATTACCTGAGCCTCGTTCCTCTCCTGGTAAAACCACTAGCATACTTAATACTTGTTCGACTAAATATTGAGTATGCTTGCTCAGTTTGAGACCCACATTAAACTAACCTACCATCCACGCTGAGATCCATACAAAATCTTGCTGCTAAGTTTGTTCATTCGGAACTTTTCTTATCACACCCCGTGTCACCGAACTTGAGTCATGCCTTCATCTCCGTACCCTTGAGTAGCGCGGCGAAACTCCAAAATTATGTCTTTTTTCATAAGTTCGATCACCTTCTACGTCATCATGTTTATTTCGAACCCTTGCATCAATTTTCATCCCATCATGACCACAGAAAAGCTGTTTATACCCCGGCAGCCTGCAGTATACCGCCTGCACAAAATCATTCTTTGTATCATCTTCCTGCCGACGCGGTGCACACTCCAGTCATACATACTTGCTAGGCATAAATCAAAACCATCATGAAATAGCCATGCCCACCCCTCAAGTAATAGCCCTCACGAGAAACTTGAGGTACTAATAAACAAATAGGTAAATAAAGAAATAAATACCGCCAAAACCATCAAATTGTTAATGTGACGCATGTGCACAGCTGCCACTAAATCTGTCAACACAACCCTGTCAGGAAATGCAGTATATTGATGCAGACAGGTCGACAAGAAACTTCACCAAGTTTCTGAGGACTCAGCCAGTGCAGTCCTACAAAGGACCCTTGGTTTGCTGTCGGCTAATCTCATGTCGGAGGCGGGAGGCATGCCTCTCTGCTCTCACAGGCCCTCTGGACTGCCTGGGACTGGTATTCCAGATGGTAGCTCCTGATTGCCTTTATGATGAAGCAACATTGCGTTTTATAAAGCACTCTATAAGCATATATTCGCGCACATTGAATACCTGCAACGACTTCAGCTTTGATACGGACCTTCAATGGTTGGGCGTGCGCATGTGCAAACGAGTGTGGCAGATGCCTGCGCCAATTACGCTGCGCAAGGACCGTTTTTACGCACAGGCTGAGACAACCTTGTTTCTTCAAATCCACTGGGGAGCCCTACTCCAGAGGGAAGGGGGG